ACCGCGCTTCGTGCGCAGAGATAACGAACGAACGGAGGGAGGAGAGAGAGAGAGAGAGAAAAAGGGAGATTGATCGATGCTCGCTCTTTGATTTTCGCGACCTGCACCAAGCGACCATGCACGAGCCCGTGCATGTATTCGTCTCGTGGAACAAAAAACGAAAGAGAAATTAAAAAACCCGACGAACGGTGACGAGGCCGTTGTTGGGGGGAGGAGATTGCGGATAATCGAAAAGGCCGGCAAATCAAATATTTGCGCGATCCGTTCCGTTGTGTCGTTCGTTTTTAAAAATTTGTAATGCAACGCGAATCCGCGTTCGCGATCATTACACGCGGAATTATTCGGAAACCTGTTGGGGAAATTTTGAAAAGCGTCGCGATTAGATTCGAGGCGACGAAACGACCTATCCTCCTCGTAGTTTTCATATTTCACGCACGAACGGCTCGTATCGGGCCAATTGGATAGTCGGATTTATCGTCCGTCAAAGCGATCGTCGCCCGGAACAGTATCGTTTACACGCGCGTTGAAAAATCAACGTGTAACGTGGTCGGCGAAAACGATGAGATTGGCGAATAATTTGCCAATTCGAGCTCTTAATAATAATCGGGACCCGTTGATTTCCAGTGAAACCGTTGACGACCACCATAAGGAGGCCGGGGAGGAAGGAAGTGGGGAGCGAGTCGCTGCTCGCGGGGAAACGGTACGAGGTGGAGTGCGAGACGACCGGCTCGAGGCCACCGGCGGTGATTACCTGGTACAAGGGGCGGAGAAGACAGCTGAAACACACCAAGGTGAGGGAGGGACGATTCTCTTCTCTTCGAGAGATTATAATTCGATCGATCGACAACTCGATCGGTAATCGAAAATATTCGATAATTATAATCAATCGCCCCCGTGTCGAGCTTAACGAAATTTGTCGAGAAATTTTCGAAGAACAAAAGGTGATTAACAACAGCTAAGCTGCTTATTACACCACCACTTGTTAATTAATTCCTGCCCCCCATCTCTTCCGCGACTTCGATATCTCGCTTTTCTTTCCTCGAGAAACCGCGTGGCAAACGACGCGTCCGTTACGCGATTCCCTCGTGTAATTGGAAAGCGATCGAAGGAACGCCTTTAACGAGGATCCTGGTTAAAGCGAGAATTCGGAGAAGTCGACTCCTTCCAATGGAGATATTCCAATGCTGGATGAGCAGGAAAAGAAGAGGAGTTGAAAAGGAGTGGAAACGCTTGGGGGGGGAGAGGTCGATAACTATACCCCACGGCGGCGAATCTTTTCCTTCCAAGAGAGATTCTCGATACGGAAACAGAGTCAAAGCGACATCGTGAAAGCGGTGGAGGACGGGCGATGGAGGAAGGAGAGGAGGAAAATCTGCGGTTGCGCCGCTTCCTCTCTCTCTCTCTCTCTCTCTCTCTGTACGAACGGATTCGTGCAAGTTGAAGTTGTGCGAGGTTCGAAAGAGGGTTCGAAACGACGAGGGTTGAAAGGTACGATCAGAGGGCAGCGCTCGAGAGGGGCGCTCGATTGAATTAACCAACTACACCTGTCGACTCCAGATATTTTCATTGGCGGTATGCTAATTGCCCATTACGATTTAACCGAATCGCCGTTTCTTTGAAAAGCAAATAGTTTCTCTTCTCCTTCGTTCCTTCGTTCTTTGTCGCGTTGCGTGGAGATACGCGAAAGAAGAAGAGAAGAAAAAAAAAAACTGTTCAAACTCGAGGAAACTATAAATAAACTTGTAATTGAGATTCGATGAATCGTTTTCGCTTAAAAGTGAGAGCGCAATTTCTTGTCGACGACAAAATTTAAATGGTAAATGGTTGAATCATAGTTGATTCGATTAGGAGAGGAAATAAAAAAATCGTTATCCGGTTAAACCGTCACCGATTTTTTCCCTCGTCGAATATTTATTTTAATTCCATTGGAATCATCGATCGAGCAAAAAGAGAGAGAGAGAGAGAGAAAAAATATGACAAATGAATTAAATTATCTCTCGTGAAATTGACATTACGTTATTATTAACGATATCAAACAGTCAGCTCGAGATCCAATTAATCGAGACTATCGAGAGTATTGAAATCGAAGTAACGAATAAAATAAACGCGTATGTATCGTATATAATAGATTCCCGACTCTTTCGAGAAGAGAATTATTATCAATTTTAAGGCTTTCGTTTTTATTCCCTCCGAATCGAAGAACAAACGAAGCGGTAATCAAATGCGGATTATATTTGTACGGTTTAAATTTCATTCAATTTTTATCCGCCACGCTCCGGAATATAATACGCCGTTCATACGATATTTAAATAACACGGCGAACACGGCAGCATCGCAAAATACATAATTTATCTTTTAAATATTACTCGTGTAATATCGTATCCTGTTAAAATAGGAGCGAGCAAAAATCCAAAATTTAAGGCCGGGCAATTTTCCTTCGTGATAAAAATTCTCTCTTTTTATCTCTCGTTGAAGCTATATCCTCGAATCTTTTTTTCCAAATTTCTCCCTATTTTAACGGGAGAAGCATAAATCCGCCCGTTAACTCTCTCGCGTTATCGTTCGACCAAGCCGTTACGGGGGGCGTGGTGTTCGTCGTGGTCGCGTCGTTAGAAGAATCGAGGCGACGGATTTCTCTTCGTCTCGAGAGATGGACCATCTTCGAACAGAACGAACGAACGAACGGAGGAGATTAAGAAGGGGGGAGAGAAGCCAGAGAGGAGGAGAGTTTCGAAAATCGGCGATCCGGAGCCAAGTATCCTCGCCGGATACCTTTTTTTTCGTTGTTCAACCGAAACGTTGGAACGCTCTTCCGAATTTGTGTTTAGGGAAACGATCGACGGGAGAGCAATGCGTGTAATCCATGCAACCTGGCTGGAATATTTCCACGGAGAGAGAGAGAAATGTGTCTCTCCACGTTTCTTGATGGAATAGATGCGTTTCATCCTCGTTACGTGATATTATATTTTTTACCCCGCGTGAACATTCAGAGAATGGGATAGACGTTATCGATAATCACAGATGTAACCGCGCGCGTCTTCCTTACGACGTCCGTAATTAATTTCGCGTTGTTCGTTAACAAGACCTGGCCGCAACGCTTAACGACGCCGCCACCACTCGCAATATCCTCTCTCTCTCTCTCTCTCCTTGCGCATTTTCGGGCCAAGAGCTGGGCGGGCTGATTAACAGAGTAAACGACAGTCACCGAATGGGAACTCGGGGGGCTGAATTCTAATTCGTGGAAACAGGGGTGTGCGACCATCTCGACGGTTTCCCAACTTTTATGGGGGTGAAATTAAAATTCTTTGACGAGGGCTTGTGGATACGTGTGAAGATTCGCCGATGAGACGAACTGCGCCGGTCGAACATTCCGGGGAACGCGGGGAATTTTAATGAATCCCCCCGAGAGACGCAAAAATCTCTCTCTCTCTCTCTCTCGCTTGCTCTAGTTTCGAGTGAAAGTACAAGTCTCTAGCTAGGGTGAAACGCGATTCGGACATCGTGGTCGAAACGAGAGAATTCTCGAGGAGTTGGGAACGAGGAGGAGGGCCGTTATAGGCCGCTTAAAAGGAGAGGACCCGTTTGAAATTCTCGGCCTCGCCGGATAATAAAATATAGCCTCCGAGGTTGGAGGGATATTAACGGTGAGCGGATCCTATAAGCGGCGGAACACGTAGACCGCTTCTATCGCATTACCATCCTGATTACGATCCCATAGTCGTTCGGCCCGTCTTTACCACGAGCGTTCACGAGCGTTGTAATCGGCCGCTTACGTCATCTTTATTTTCCCTGTACAAATAATTGAAATTCCGCCACGCCTGTTTCTCCCAATCGCGGAAGAAAATTAGACCAAGAGAGATCGTTTCGAAACAAAATTCTCGGCCAGAGGAGTGGCTCCTTTCTGGTGGACGATAAATGGAAAAACGCGACGGGGAGAGAGAATCTCTTGCGCGAGAAGCTGGCTGTGAAATTTACGCTCGGTGGAATCCGCCGGCGGAGCTCTCTCTTTAGAAAGGATCCCGCTCGGTGGAAGCAGGACTTTGGTCCCGGTCCTTTCGAGTCCGGGATGAATTTCCAGCAGATGTTGCCACCCGGTTGCTTACGGTCCGCCACTCGACCTTAATATAACCAAAATTAACCATACCGAGTTACCGAGTCGAACTTTTACCCCTTTTTTCCTCCCTCTCTCGCCACCTTCCGCGCCCGTGGAATCGAGAGAAGGCTCGAAACGAGAGTAGCGAGATCGTTATTTCCCGAAATTAAGCTCGCCTGGGAAGAATTTCTGGCGGGGAGAATTTCTTTTTTGCAAATTGTTCAAACAACGTTCCTGTTGGTTCTTTTTAAAGATAATGATGATGATGATGATGATGTATCGCACGCAGGAGGAGAGATGGGAGAATCGGACGGTGAGCATGGTGGAGTTCGAGCCGGGCGTGGAGGATCACGGGAAATTGATCACCTGCAGGGCGGAAAATCCGAACGTGACGGGGCTGTTCCTGGAGGAGACGTGGAAAATCGACGTCGTGTGTAAGTAGACGACAAATAAATAAATACGATACGTTCCAGCTGCTCTCTCTTCGCGGCTTCTTCTTTTACGAGCGTGCGTCGTGACGTTAAATGCATATTCGATGATTCCGCCAAGTCGTTCTCAACCCCACGTTTTAACGTATGCATAACGCCGTAAAAGGAAAAAAAAAAAAAAAGGAAAAAGAATAAAGCTTCGCCACCCAGGATTCGCTTCTCCTCCTCCGTCGTGAAATCGGCCGATTTACGATTTTTTTTCACGTTGAACGCGCCACATCCCTTCCTATCCCTTGTTTTTACAGCCGCAATAAAACAGCCTACGCTAGATTTCCGGCCGAATTACGGCCGAAATTCCGTCGAGGCCGATCTCGTCGCGAAATCGTTCTCCGCTCCATTCGATCGTAAAATAAAAAAAAAAAAAAGGCGAAGAAGAAGGAGGAGAATATATATATATATATATATACATACAGAGAGGAAGAAAGGGATGGCGTCGTTCAGATCTCTATCCACGTTCCTTTCCTTTTTTTCTCTTTTTCGCGTTCTCGCGAGATCGGTTGAAAAAAGTCGAAGCGTATTCCTCGATTTCGGCCAGAGTGAAAACGAGAGATTTTCAGGAGGAGGAGATACCTGTTCGCCGCCTGTTCGTTTTTTAAACTCATGTTCGAACGCGTAGAAATTTCAAGATCTTTTCAACTGCCGATCTCTCGAAACTCAACCGACTCGACTTTGGGCTCGATTAATTATTCGAAAAGTTTCCTTGAAGGAGAGGGAAAAGGAATTGAATAGAAAGTAGAGTGTCGAGTCGAGGAAATGCGAAGGAGGGGAAAAAGGAAGGGACGTGAAAAAAAAAAGAGAGAGAGAGAAACATCCGAGGGGGGGAAAAAGCGCGGGAGGAATAACGTCACGTCGTGTATCCAATTACGTTGACCGTCGAGCAGAATCGTTGAAATTACGCATTAGCCTTGGCGGCCACGAACCACCACTCGGCTTTTTCCTGCTTCTTCCTTCTTCCCTCTCTTCCGCGAGCTCTCGATCCGCGGACGAGCAGAAGAAAATGAAAGGGGAGGGCGGTGGTGGGCGGAATTTATCGCGAGAGGAGCAGTACGCGTAACTGTGAAGGACAAGGGATCGAGGGTTAAAAAGAGGAGTTTGGAGTTAGCCGATCCTCGAAAGGAATTTATCGCGAAACGAGAGAAACCGAGATGATTAAACTAACGAAGAAGGTAAACGAGAGATACGAATTTTTCGAGGAGGTTGCCCGAAAAATCGAAGTTTTGAGGACAACCGAGAAAATTGCTTCTTTCTTCTCTCTCTCTCTCTCTCTCCTCCTTCTTTTTAATTCTTTGCTCGCGCTGCCACGAAAATATTCGTTGCTCCTTGGAAGCCGCGGAGGTTGACGAAAGGTTGTACGAGCGATAAAAACGCGTATCTAAACCCTCCCTAGAGAGAAAAAAATGAGAGTTTCCCTCGGGAGCCCCGAGCTTTAAAACCTGGAAATTTAATTTACAGATCCACCGATTGTCTCGTTGAACCTTGGATCGACGCTAAGTCCGGAGGACATCAAGGAGGGGGACGACGTCTACTTCGAGTGTCACATCAGGGCTAATCCTGCCTGGTCCAAGTTGACGTGGATACACGACGTACGTATATCGATCTCTCCACCGAATCGAACCTTTTCTCCTTTTCTTCCGTTCAAAAAGGCCGAATTAGATGCGTCTCGCAAAGCAGAGAGAGAGAGAGAGAGAGAGTCTCTTTGAAAGCGGAAAAATTCCCGAGATGCGGCACGATAATACGGAAGAAGGCAGAGGGAGGAGGGGCCAACCAACCTGCGTCCTTTAAATTTACAAGCGGGGGCAAGCGTTACAGGTAATTTACGGGACGAGGAGAGACTTATCCCGTATAATGGCTCGTGTATTTTACTACAGGGCGAAACTTTGAATCCTTTATTCGCATAATATACGAGGCTCTAGGTGTTCGGCGTGGGCTCGATCTAACGAGTTGGAACGAGGAAACGTTGAAAGCCAGCCGATCGTCTCGCGGATTTATGGCGATGAAAACACCGAGTCGTTTCATTATAATCCTTAATGCGTCGCCCTTTTCTCCTATCGTAATAATAATCGTGAAGAGGGAGCAAAACCGGTGGAGAAACTTTGCTAGGGATTCGGTTTCGATTTCGCCGGGGGAGAAGGTTTAATCTGTTTTGGAACTCGTTCGGGGGGGGGAGCGTGGTGTCGGAGGGAAGCCAAAAGAGATCTTGTCTGTTTCGGGGAGGACCGTATACTTCTCTTCTTTTTCTCCTCGTTTTGATCCAACCGGAACGATTGGTGGCCGCCTCCAGCTGCCGCGAAATTGCATCTTGAAAATACGATTCTGACTCGATTACCTCAAACGCGTAATTTATATAATCACACACTGGATTATAATAATAACAACGCCCTCCCTCCCTCCCTCCCTCCCTCTCGTCTGGTTATTCGGATAAAGCGAGTAAAGGGGCGCGAGATTAAGAAAGGATAAGAGTGGCGAGATTAACCACGAAGCGCGAAACTCTCCTCTTTTCTTCCCCTTCCTCTTTTTTCTCGATCGATGGGAAGGGTGTTTGCCTAGGGAATTAGAGGAGGCCATCGACACGTTCCGATCAATCCCAGGGTAGCGATTCCGAATCGTCGGTCTTAAAAAAACGCTTCGAGGCATCGGCAGTAACCATCGCGAATGACGATCGTAAAGACGGAGGAGGAGGAAGGGAAAAGAATTGGAATATCTGGCGAAGGAGAGAGAGAGAGAGGATAATGGGGTACAGTGATTAGGCTGGCTATACCATTCACCGGGACAATAGAGTGGTTCTGTAGCCAAGTAGTATCGACGAGCCAATCGGCCGTTCCAAAGATTCTCTTCATCTTTCTTGGATCGACCGGAAGACTAGACAACCGGAAGAACCCTGTTAATGTCCTCCTCTCCTTCTCCTAAATATAATAATAGGGGAGAGAGAGGGATGAAATACTTTTCCCTCTCGACACCTCCCCTCGAAATTTCTCGATACAAAATGACGGAGGATCAAACGCCTCTCCAACGAGGGGGAGGAGGAAATACGAGTGGATATTGGAGCGAGATCTCTGGTTATTCGGACGATCGAAAGAGTAAAGCGAAAATGAGAAGAGGATAGGCTGTGGACATCGAAACAATTTCACCGTGGATGCAATCTCGTCGTACTCCTCTCCCGCGCAACAAGTCTCCTCTCCTTTTCTTCGAACGAGACGTTGGAAGAGACATGGAACACAATCGACACGAATTACAAAATTTCCGGGGCGAGAACTCGACGAGAGCAAGAAGAAGAAGAAGAAGAATCGAGAACGTAATCAAAGATAACGAGGCAAGTTTTCCGCGTTGGGTCCTCGTTCGAAAATCGCTCGCTACGAGGGCAAGGCATCCGCAATGCATCATCCCTGCAAATGTGCCGCCCTGCAAATATCTCGACATCGTATCGATTCCACAGGAATCCCCTCTCGCTCGCTGAAAAAAAAACCAGGCGATATTGACTTGGAATACCAAGCAACTTGAAGAGAGAGAGAGAGAGAGAGGCTAATGAAGCTTCCGGGTCGGTCCTCTCTGCCGTTGATAAATCGCTTTAAACACGTAGGTAACAATTTTCCAACCTACTGAAATCAATCGCGTCGGCGAGCAACATCGTTGGAAATTTAGGAAGAAAAAGGGAACAAGGATGCGCGAAAGAAAATCATACATGGAACGAAATATATTTTTATCGGGAGGAAGGGGAGAACACGGAGGAAGGATAAATTTCATTTTATCGGGGAGGCGCGTCTGCGACACATATCGTATAAAGCGCGCGAGAAAAAGAAGGAATTGGAGAGGGAAGGAGAAGGAAGGGGAGGCGCACGTGCGCGATCTATCGGCGTAACCGCTCTTTAAACCGTCGTCGTTCGATGCTCCCGGCTGCTTCCGTGCCGCGTCTCGAGTACGCTCGCCGGTTGTTCGACGCATTAGTACGTGGCCGATTCCACGCGAAAATACAACTGGAGCGAAGAGAGCCTCCTCCCTTCCGCCAACGATTCACGTTCGCGCGATAATGGCTTCCTTCAACGCGCGCGGGAAAAGTTTCTTTCTTTTCTTTTTCTTTTTCATCTAAAACCTACTCTTTTCGCTCCAATCCTCACGGATTTTGAGTTAACGCCGACGAGAGAATAGCATAGGCGGCAGGATCGATCATTCTTTTCAACGATGGCGAGCAGAGAGAGAGAGAGAGACGAATAAATTTCGTTTTTAGGAAGATGAAGAGAAGACGGTGAGTAGAAAGGAAGGAAGGAAGGAAGGAAGGAAGAAAGGACGAAGTTGTTGGCAATTTTTCAAGGAATCAGTGCGCCGTCTGACCGGAATGAACGCCCTTCCTCTCTCTCCTCGAATCGCGCTCTACCAAGCTCGAATTCTCACCCACAGAATTCTCCTAGCTTTAGAGAGACGACTTTAGCGTGTGTATATATATATATATCGAAGCTACGGGGAATCGAGAAGAAATTCGACGGATCTTACGGTGGGATAGGCGAGAGATTGAACCGGCCAGATATTCGACTCCTTGTCCTCGAAAGAATTCCTTCGTAATCGGATGTCGCCGATAGGTATCTCCCTCGTTTGCCCCGCTTAAGAGCGACTTAACCACGGCGAGAGGGAGTTGGCCGAGGTTTCTCCATTTCGGCCAACCTTGGAAGGACGCACGGAATAGAATCGCGGGATAGAAGGACGGTTAACACCTACTTTATGTAACGCGGCGAGACAATGCCCATTGTACGGGGGATGCTTGTACGTACCACGTGCTACGAGTAATTCCAACCCTTATACACCGGATTCCGAATATTCTCGAGATGAAGCCCCGGGCTTTTGGGCTCCGTTCCAACTCTGCCGTTGCATAAAACCAACCTCTCTTGTCACCTTCGTGAAACTTTGCCCGCGTTGTTTCTTCAACATCTCGTACGGGGGATGTGACTTTTTTCTGGAAACGTATCGATATTTTTCTACTCCCTTTATATTTTCTTTTCGTTTTCTCTCTGTTGGAGAAGACACGACGTATTTCCATATATATGTAAATGCAAATTAGGCGCGAGGATCGGCGATCAACGGCAACAAGGAGGATCGTTGATGGAGAAGGGTTAAACAAGTTAGTCGCCGATGGAATATCCAAATCCCGGTGAATGGATTTAGGGACAAAGTTAGTCCCCGTTTACCCTTCGCGAAATCTGATTAGAAGAAGAAGGCGAACGGTTCCGAGGAGTGGATCAAAGAGGGCGGCTCGCTTTCGTACGGGGAAACCGTACAGGAAAATCGAATTAATAACCGGAGGAGAGTCTGGCGCACGATCCTTAAGGCGTTCTAATTAACGCTCGCGCGTTTACGAACTCATTATACATGCTGTCTGGAGCATGCGAAACGAGCTACGTGGCAACCGATCGACGCGTCGTTATCCGAGTTTTGCCCCCATCGGGGAGGTGGCTAACTTTGCCTTCTCGTTCTCTGATGCGCGCACGCACACACACACACACACACGTATATATATATGTATCATAACTTTTCCCTCTCCTCTCTTTTCGAACGGTCGAGGAGTATAATTGTAACGAAACGCAAGGAGAAAGAAAGCTCAGAAAGAACGTTCTGAGACGGGGCGTAGTTGAGTTGGCCTCTCTGCGAGAGATTCCCAGCTGGAGAGAAAACGGACGAACGCGATAGAAGAAGAAATGGAAACGTCCAATGCGAGATGGTTATCGAGCGACGGTTTCCTGATTTTATCGAACGTTATTCCTTCTTTCCGTCGTTTTACAAACGAACGCAGCTATTCTCGATAATATAATAGAGAAGAAACGAAAGGAAGGAAGGAAGAGGGGATTTAACGAAGTTGGAGGAGCAAATCGAAGGGTAAACCCGTGGCCTTAACCGAAGCTTAACCTATGCTAAGCGAGGGGGCGGTTGCAATAGATTCGGTTTAATCGAGTTCCCGAGTTGTTTTCAAAATTCGTCATCGGGCAGGATCGATCGCGCCTAATAAAGATCCGAAGGAAATCCTCCACCGCTTTGAGATTGTAAAACAATCGAGGGAGGGGAAACGAAGAGGAGGGATGGAAGAAATCTCGATCGAATCGATTTCGAATTATCTTGGATTCGAAGGAGGAGATTCGATCTCGAAAGGAGGTCTCCCTGCATTTGGCACGGCCCTCGGCCGCTGGTAAGCCGAGGGTGTCCCCTCCCTCAGGTTTTATCTACTTGTTGGCTCTAACCCTCCACTGTTCCACTGTCTCGTTTCCCCAAACTAGCCTCTCCCTCCCATCTTTCGTTTCCTTTCAACCTTACCTAATTGAAACGCGATCCCCCGAAACGAGGTGAGGAAGAAGACGATCCGAGGAGAAGAAACTTTTGTCCGCCCCTCCTATGGGAGAGGGAAACTACTCAACTTATTCGTTTACACGTCGATTCTTTACCCTCCTGATATGCGTGAGGAACGTTGGAAGGGGTGAGGGTCTTGTTGTTATATAGCAAATAACGTTTCGTTCGAGAGGCAAGGCACGTGAAAACTCGAGCTCGATCGAAAGAGGAAAGATTCGTGTCTTTTTTTTCTCTATAAATTTTTTCTCAAATTGCAACTCTTTCGTTCTCTTTCCACCTTTTTTTCAGAAGACGAGACGAGAAGGCGTCGTGTCCTCCGCTCTTTCCCCCCCTGTCTTTCTCCTTTTTTCTTTCTTTACCGAAAAGACTGCTGTCGTGTTAATTTTTCCGGGGGAAAAAGGTAGAATTCTTGAAATGCATTCGTTTTGTCTTCTCGTTAGCCGGGACAAAAGGGTGGAACACGGTACAAAAGATAACGAAACTAGCGCTCTTTTCATCCAGTTTGATTAAACAACTAAGTGCACCGCTGTATCATTCTTAGCTATGCTCCACGACGGTTGATAAGCCGTCAGCCTCGATTTCTCTCTCCCTTCCTCGTCGCATTTTCCTTGCGTCGATCTCTCTCGACGCAAAGGAATACAATGTCAAAGGGTTTTTCGAGGTGATAAAGAACACCGCGTTTATTATTCGCGCGAACAAGAAGCAAAACCAACGCTCTCTCTCTCTCTCTCTCGTCGCGACACACTCCGAGCGGATAAATTTGTAACAAAGATAGGGGGAGGGAAACGTAACGTCGCCCGATCGTAAAAGTTATCGAGTCCTTTTCTCCATTCCGAGCAACGTGCTCGCGATAATAATAAAGAATTTATTCCGGAACAGGAGAGGGTGGAAAATAAAAGGATGTGGGTCAGACCCTTTCGTCGATATAATTGCCTATAAAAATGAGAGAAAGGCGGTGATGCGCGATAAGGGAATGGGAATGGCGGGGTGGAACGGCTGGGTGCATGTTTATCTCTAATTTATCGCGAGGGATAGCAGCCTAGTAACGAGAAACGAAAATCGCGATTCGAAATCTTGAACGGCGCGAACGAGAAGGAAGATTTTTCCCTTCTTTCCCCCCCCCCCCCTCGAGAGAAAAATAGAGAGACAGAGTAATTACTATTATTATTATTATTATTATTATTATTATTAAGAAAAGGTAGAATTCGAATCTCGAAGAATTATCGCGGAATCTCGTTGCTGTTTTCAGAACCAGATACTGGCGCACAACACGTCGGCCCGGATAATCTGGTCGAATCAGAGCCTGGTGCTTCAGAGCGTGACCAGGAGCAGCGCCGGCAAGTACGTGTGCGCCGCAACGAATGACCTGAACGAAACTCGAAGCGAGCCTCTTCATTTTCGCGTCAAGTGTGAGTATTTCCCCTCCCTCCCCGAAAACCACTCGAAACCGAACGGAGCGCCACTTTATTTTATTTCGAGCAGACTTAATCGAGGATTTCTCCCGTGGTAACGCGTGTTCTTCCCTCTGAATATTATTATTTGAACCGAAGCTTGTGGCTTCAGCCAAATTTCCGATATCCCCGGCGAGCTATTTTCGACCGCTCCCGTGAACCGATTTGATCCCGGCAACGGATCAAACGTCAAAAATTGGAAAGATACGATCCTTTCTCGAACTCTTTTTCTGGCTTTTTTCTTTGAACTGCGCGTTCGACTGAAAGAGCAATCGAATTATTATATTATACACGCATCTCATACTCCACATACCGATCCAGTTTCCTTCGAATTCGAATCGAGATACGAACGAGAATTGTAAATAGAGCGGGAGGTTTGGTTCGAGAATATCGGTAACGGTTCGTAACAATTCGGTAACAATTCGACAAATTTAACGTCGCGGCCGCGCAGAGGCTATCTCGTCTGTTTGCGGGACACGGAGCTTGGGAAACAAACTCGTGGTTGTGGACATTTTGGGGAGATGGCTGCGTCAAAGGATCTCGCCAGCCTGTGGATATGATATTCCACGTTGTTGCGGCCAGTCGTGGTGGAGCGGCTCGTGAACAACAACCGGCCGTAGTTGCGTGGACCCTCTCCGCCGAGCTCTCCACCGATCGCCTGCGTAAATTTAGATTATCCGCGCGTGTGAGGAGCACGAGTGGGGGAAAAAGAGGGAAAAATTACGAGTTGCGATTCGAGATGCAAATCATCCGATAAAACTGCTTCTTTCATCGGGGAAAGTACGGGCACAAACGTGACGGAAAAGAGGAGAAACGGACAGGTTCAAAGGGCTGAACCTGAATGAGCAGTTTTTTTCTTCTTTTTTTTTTCCCCTCCCCTCCTCCTCTCCTTTTCTTTGTGCGCAAAGTTCTTTGAAAGTGGACGCAGTCGCACGCAACGTTGGCCGCAATTAAGCGCGGGGGGGTGAAAAAAAGGCGAGCGCGAAAGGTATAAAATCAAAGGGTACCTACCGATTCTTAAACCGCCCCGATGTTTCCCGACACGGATGATAATTAAATTTCATTCGCGCTGTTTCAACGTGTGTACACGTATATACGTGGTGGTGATATACGGTCGCCCTCGATAACTCGTTGTCGTCAATCTCGAATTACAAACGGCTAACGAGGACTGTTTACGACTTCTCGACCGTTAATTACACGGGGCGAGGGGACGAATGTCAACCGGTTCTCGGCCGGTAACAAAAGTTTTCATCAAACGCGCGTTTCAATCGACGAATTTCCTCCCTTTTTTCTTTTTCTTTAATCGAGAACCCTTTCACGATATTTATTTCTCTCCGATACGATTTTGCAATTGAATTTCTTCTTCTCACGCTTATTATAACGTTATTTCGCAAAGTCTTTTCATTCGTTCGTTAATTAAATTTTTCCCTGAAACGTGCGTAAAAATATGGAGAAGAAAGGGGGAAAGATCGCGGTAATGACGGAAAATATTTATCCGCGTTGGGGGGGGGAGGGGAAAAAAAAATGGAACGGAAACGAATTAAACGGATAAAGAGCGAGGGCTCGTTCATCAGTCGAGATGACCGACCATAACTCATCCAGATAGCGCCTATACCGTGATGATACGCTATCGTTCGTCGTGTATAGTTCGCGTATTTCACATTTTCACTTTTGATATCTTTCTATTCCAAACCTATCGTTGCATTTCTCTCCTATGCGTGTATATCTTCTTAAACGAGTGGATAGGGTTAATAACGAAGAATCTCGTGAATTCTTACTCTAGACCGCTAGCAGCCAGACGTCGTAAATTTTGTTCCGGCAAAATTTCATTTGCGCGACTTTAATTTTTCACGATTCCCCGCGTTTATTATTTCGGTTACGTTTTTTTTTTTTTCTTCTTTTACGCCGGCTTGTTATTCCCCAACTGTCGTGCTCTTACTCCTTTATTGCAATCTTTAAGCCGTATTTTTTTATTCCTCGAATTCTTTCGCCGGAACTGTATTTTTTTATCTTTTCAACTGCTTCCTTCTTTTCTCTTCCTTTTTTTTTTTTTCTTCTTCTTCTTCTCAACGTTCTTTTTCATTATTAGTACGTCTCGTTCGTTGACACACCGGTGCCATTCTTTATTCTCTTCCTCCAACTATTTCCTCCTTTTCTTCCGCGTTCTTGCCGGTTTTATTATTAAAATCTCTTTTGTAAACACCTATTCTCCACAACCACGATTCCTCATCCTCTGAGAAATGGGTTGCTGGAATTTCTTCCGCGAGCCGAAACGAGATTAAAAAAAAAAAAACTTGCTCCAGATTCCAGAAAAATTTTCACTCATTCGTTAATAACCATCCTCGTCGCTGGATGGACACTGCGCCCAAAGGATAAGTTTAAGCTCGACGATTGAAACGTGGTGTCGATCGGCTCGACTCGTTCAAAGCGCCGTGGAAAAATGTGCGTGGAAAGGCATAGCGAAATAGCGAAGAGTCCTGCTCGATACCGTTGGCCATAAAGTTGGGAAGGTGGGGAAATTGCCCTCGAGCAAGATTGCCCCCTCCCCCTCCCTGACTCATAAACGGGCTTACGGTGAAAATCAGCGGAAGTACCCTTTTACTTTCCGGGCACGATTCCTTCCCGCTTTGTGCTCGCCACCGTCTCATCCGTCTCCCCCCCGAAAACGGTTTTATTTTCTTTTCAATCCGTCAATTCCTCTCGTTCGGGGCATTGAGAATTGAAAGTCCGTCTCGATAGAGTTGTCTGCTGTAATTTCGTTCGTCTAATTCCGTTTGCGAGGAGATATAGAAAAGGCTTCCCTCTCTTTCCTCGAAACGAATGCAGGATATATAGGAGGGGGAAATGTATGAATCCCTCAAGAAGAATTGGAAAGAAGAATCTTTCCGAATAAACGAAACCTCTTGGTTGGAAAATTCTCGAGATAAACCACTAGATCTACTAACTAAATCTAAACCAGCCAGATATTCGATCGTCTGCATTTCGAGTAGCATTCGGTCAAGCACGAATTGCATCCGGGAAAATTGGAAAATATCGCGGGTTCTCGATCGAATCTCTCGAATGGAATTCGCCTCGAAACTTTCCTTTCCCGAATGCGAGAGAAAAAAAGAAACGAGAGAAGATTGACACAACATATATATATATATATACGTGTATTATTTTTCAGTCGCGCCTGTGTGCAAGGAGGACAGGATCGTGGTTGTGGGTGCGTCGAGGGGCGAGTCGTTGAACATCGCGTGCAAAGTGGAGGCCGATCCCCCGGCGCACAATTTCCGTTGGAAATTCAACAACAGCGGGGAGACGCTGGAAGTAGCGCAGGGCAGATTCTCGATGGAGACGTCGAGCGGGGTGAGCGTGTTCAGGTACACGCCGACCACAGAGCTGGATTACGGCACTCTGTCGTGCTGGGCGGACAATTCGGTCGGCAGACAAGCGAGACCGTGTCTCTTCCAGCTGATAGCGGCCGGTAAGTATTTACCGGATCTCGGTAAACGTTACACCAACCTCGAGTCTTCTTCGAGTGGTCAGGAAATCGAGTTAAAATCCGGAAACGAGCCACTTTACACTACAAACTATCTCGAAAATATTTCGAGACCGCTCTCTCTCTCTCTCTCTCTCTCGAAAAACGATCCCGATTGTTTAGGATCGATCGATGCATGATCGAAATTTGTTTTTTTTTTTTTTTTCGAATTTCAAGAGGTTAGAAAAGAAAGAACAACAACAACAAGAGGAGGAAAGGAGACCGATCCGCGTGAATTATTCGAGGGGAGGCGGATTCTTGGCGAGCAAAACCGCCGAGACTATTAGCGCCTCAATTATTTACCCCTTTCGAAACCAAGATTGTTCCACCTCTGAAGATACCTTCCAATTAGTTGGAAAGCGATCGTTAATCAAGGCTTTGCACGGGTATCAACCCGTTAACCGACCGCTTATCGACTCCCTTCTCTTTTTTCTTTTCTCTTTTCTTTTTTCTACGCGACCGACCATTATTTACCCCCTCCTCCTCCTCTCTGCTAGCCGAGCACGATATTATATCACGTTACGATTACCTTTTTCCATCGGATGTATTCCCGTCGGTTTAAGTAAAGGAAGAGGAGGAGGGAAAGGGAAAAAAGGGAAAAAGAAAGCAAGTTTCGACCGAAATCAATTAACGCTACCCCCACTCGATTCTCGTTTAATATTAACGCGTTAATTCGATCGTGCCGATTAACGAACGAATATTATCATCATTATTATTACACACGAGTGTCGACAAATTTCCCCCCTCCCCGTTATAATAAACATTATGATAAACATTATATCGGATAAATATATATATATATACCGTATCATTCGATAGGATGGAAATTTGATTTAAATGAAATTAATTAATAGCCGGGCGATTATTAGGTGAAAAACGATAAACAAGCGATATAACACCCTTTATCGTTATACATTGTACATCGCATTGAAGGGGTTATTGGAGGGAGGGAAAAAAATCGAGCCGCCATTTTGTTGCAATTTTCGAAGGGAAGAGGCCCTTTTCGAACAGGGAGATGCATCTCTCGAAATATCGGGGGGGGGCGAGTTCAAAATCCTGACAGATATTCGGGAATTATCGCCCCGCGTACAATGCGATGCTACCAATCATCGAGCGGTAAACCGACATTAATCCGCGAGCGCGGATTTTCGCAGCGCTGGCCTCGATGTCTTTTTATCCGCGTGTGATCGAGAATGACGTTGACGCGCCCACCGAAAACGTATCGACGTTGACGAATACCCGCGTGCGTGTATATACGTTAAATCGAGGTGTTTTCTTCTTTTTTCTTTTTTTTTTGTTCGAAACGAGGGAATTTTCATCGCGTTTACTCCGTGGTTGTTATTTTTTTCGACGTTCGACGAAAGATCCGTCAAAGTCTATTTGGATCGCGAATTACGCGCAAGGAATAAACCGTGCGTTTAACAAAATTGTTCCCACTTTTCGCCGTGAAACATTCGATTGTTGATTGTTGAGGGTTAATCAACGCTGACCTTAATATCGAGAGTGTTGTAAGCTAAGAAAATAGAGTTTTTCCAAGATGTAATAGAAGAAATGATGGAAATGCTTGCGCGCGCAATATGACAAGAAGTGTTTCTCCTCCAACCGTGATCGATTCTCTCCCTACGTTTAAAAAGGAGGTTTCAAAATTTTAACGTATATATACATATGCATACACATACGTTAAATTAAACATCGCGATTATTTCTTGCAAATTTCAAAATGAATTTTTCCGTGTTCCATTCACCCGCAGCGGACCGGAAATCGAGCAAACGAAATTATTTACGAATCTGTCGTTATATTGGATATTGCGAGAAAGATATTCAACTAGGGGGGGTTGCGCGCAACGTTCAAAGAAAGAAAGAAAGAAACTTCGTAAGCTCGTTACTCGATCGGAGGGCACGATTCGAGGCATTGTTCGTTGGCCCCCGTCGAAGGGGGTGAAAAAAGAAAGAGAGGAAGAAAAATTTGTTTTCCGCCAGATTTCCGTGGTGGATGGACGTAGCTAAATTTTCCAAAAAGCGAACGAAAAGAATCGCTGACGCGAGAACGTCATTACCCTCGGCCCCTCGATGTTCATCAAATAACGGGAGTGTAACGAGGCGGCGCTGCCTCCAACTGGGGAACAAAAAATATAAAAAAAAAAGGAAACGAATGAAAAGTATATATACATACATCCACCAAATATATATATATATTTTTCGGGTTCGAATAATAAGTTATATAAACGGGGATAGAAATTTTCGCTCGAAGGGAAAAAAAAAAAAAGGCATCCTCGCCGATTTTTCTCAAATTGAACAACGGCCGGCCGAGAGACGGGAGGATTCAGTTGGGAGGGGAGCAAGATTTTTGGGGGAGGGCGAGATCTGTGAATGGGGAAGTAACGCAAGGATGCGGAGGAAAGTAGAATCGAAGGGAAGAGATCCCTCTTCGCTTCGAAGAAGGAAAAGACGAACGATATTTATTTTCCCCTGGTGGGGGAACTCGTGATAGCTTCGCTGTCTGTTTAAAAAGGGGGCGGGGGGAAGGAGAAGGAAATTTTACTTGGAGCGGAGGAATAGAGAGGGATGAAACAAAGGGGGGAAACAAGAAAAAGGAAAACAGAGGCGGAATTCACGAGGAATTTTCGCGAGCTGGATCGGTTGTGGGACGCGAAAAAGAAAAAGTAGAGAGAAGGGGAGATATGTCTGTGACCGTTGCTATCCCGCCACGCTAAATCCTTGCCACTCGCGTACACGCGCAAACATTTTTCACCGAGCTTGATTTCCACAGACGTGGAAACTCTCTCCAACCTGTGGAGCGTGTACAAAGCGGGAAAAAATATGAGCGGGCGAACCCCGCCCCGATAACAGAAAGAAATCTGGAATTGGAAATCTGGGAATTTGGAAGTCGGAGGGATCGGAGGAGAGGAGGGAATAATTTTTTCATCGTTCGTTCGATATCGTCGCGCCACGGTTGACAAAAGCGGGGATAATAACGCGTAGCGTGGCGACGAGTGCTCGCTTTTCTCGCTCCCCCGTTTCACGAAGCTTCGTTCGTATAAAGCTGGATCCGCGGCACAAAGTAGCCGAGGAATATTGCGAGTTAAAAGCTGCGGACGACCCCGAGTCCGTTTACAATCGTAACGTTCTAAAGAGGAGGCAGCCAAGACTGAAATCCTTTACGAAGCAATTTCACGCGCCGGCTCGTTTTAATATTCGAAGCCTCCGGAAGAGAAGAACCGTCAAGAACCTCGTCCTCGACGAAATGTATATACAGCGATCGTATATACCCGAGATCGAACCTTTTCGACGAGGTCTTATCGAACGTCTCCCTTTCTAATGATTCGCGAGGGGAGGGGGAGGGGAGGGACGGGAGGAAGATGGAGACCCCCATTCGATTTCACCGAAATCGTGCCATTTAACCGTGCGGTGACGTTTCTCGTTTCAGGAAAACCATTTCCGGTCCGTAACTGCACGCTCGCGAACCAGACTTACACCAGCGTCGAGGTGAAATGCGTGGCTGGCTACGATGGAGGGCTTCCGCAAAAATTCATCCTGGAGGTGTACCACGGCGACGTGGATTTCCTGTCGAGCAGCCAACCCCTCTATAACGTTTCGAACGCGGACGAGCCGAGTTTCTCCCTCGCGGGATTGGAGGCGTCCGTCGAGGCTGGGGTGCACGTAGCCGTGTACGCTGTGAACGCCAAAGGTCGAAGTCAACCAGTCGTTCTCAGCGAGGTCACCTACAGGGATGCCGAGAAACGCACCGGTAAAATTCACGCTCTTCTCTCTCTCTCCTCTCTCTCTCTCTCCTTCCTTTT